GAAAATTTTATGAATAGAAGTGAAATGGTATTTGAAATAGTGCTAGAAAACGAGTCCTTCAGGTTTGGAGGCACTCAAAATATGACTAGGGAAAAGCTGCATCCTCAAAATAGAGTCGATCTTAATTATGTATATGAAGTAAAGCTATTAGAACCTTCATTTGCTGATGGGGCAGGGCTCAAAATGAGAGGAAGCAGCTGCAAACATCCATTGGTAACTGGAACATAGAATGTATGAAGTATGAATCTAGGAAAATTATAAGTTGTTAAAAATGAAATGGAAAGCATAAAGATATCCATTAATGAACTAAAATGAACTGATACTGGCCATTTTGAATCAGACAGTCACTTGGTCTACTATGCCTAAATGACAAACTGAAGAAGGACATTTTAAGATCTATACTGAAGTACAAAGCTGCAAGTGATGGGATAAATATCCATATACCTATTTAGCTGATGGAGTCCTGGTGTGGTACTTCTGGATAAGCACTGAACTGCTAACCACAAAGTTGGCAGTTCAAACCCACCAGTCACTCCTTGGAAACAAACCCCAAATAGGTTCTCTATGTGTCAGAACCAACTCAAAGGCACTTAACAACATTCAGCTGACTCAAGGCTTATCCAAAGACAGTGGCCTTGGTAACTTCCCCTTAGTCCCAATTCTTGAAAACACAGATTTTAGCTTCTATTCTGGAATTAAGGAACTGCTAAAGTTTTTAAAATAACATGCTCTAACCCCCAATATTTGTCGAATATACTCTTTTACATGGAGTCCTGCTGTGGTGTTGTAGGATAAACAGTCGCTTGAACCATAAGGTTGCTGATTCGAACTTATGAGCTGCTCCTTGGAAACCCTATGCCAGATTGCTATGAGTGGGAACAGACTCAACAACACTCAACAACAACTTACTCTTTTACACAGTCAAGATCATGGTATATTTATTGTTCTGTATCCTAGTTTCACTTTTCCTTGAATCTTTAATAGTATTTGTTAATTTCATTTTCAATGTCAGTGATAGACTAATATGCCTATAAGGAAGACCAGTTAATACATGAACTACTAAAGTCAATGATGAAACTGAAGAATTCTACCAACTTTTTGGAGTCCTGGTGTGGGGATTAAGTTAAGAACTGGGCTGCTAACTGCAAACTTGACAGTTCAAACCCACCAGCTGCTCCTTGGAAACCCTGCCACTATGAGGTGGAATCGACTCACGGCACTTAAAAATTACCAACTTCTGCAGTCTGAAATTAATCAAACAAGCAATCAAGATGCACCGATCATTATTGGTGACTGGAATATGAAAGTTGGAAGCAAAGAGAAGAATTAACAGTTGGAAAATATGGCTTTGGTAATAGAAATGACACTGGAGATAAAATTTTATAAGATCAATGACTTTTTCATTACCTTTTCAACAACATAAACTGTGACTATACATGTGGAACTCACTGGAAGGAATACATAGGAATCAAATTGACTATATCTGTGGAGATGATGAAGAATCTCAAAATCTTCAGTCAGAACAAGGGCAGGGCCAACTGTGGAATAGTACATACAATAAGCCATCAATTGCTCATATGCAAGCTCAAGTTGAAGCTGAAGAAAATTAACACAAATCCATAAGAGCCAAAATATGACCCTTGAGTATATCCCATCTGAATCTAGAGACCATCTCAAGAACAGATTTGATGCACTACACACTAATGACTAAAGACCAAACAGAATAATATCAAGGACATCATACATAAAAACAAAAAACAAAAAACAAAGGTCATTCAAAAAACAGAAAAGAAAGAAAAGCCCAAAATGAATGTAAGAAGGGACTCTGAAATTAGCTCTCAAATTAGCTAAAGTAACTGTAAGAAATAATTAAGTAAAAGAACTGAACAGAAGATTTCAAAGGCTGGCTTGAAAAGGCAAAGCACTATAATGAAATGTGTGAAGGTCTGCACTTAGAAAACCAATAGGGAAGAGCACTTATAATTTCCCATGTCGAAGAATTAGAAAAACACAACAAAAACTCAAGCCTCGAGTTGTAATACTAAAATATTCTATGTGCAAAATATTGAACGATGCAGGAACACTTAATAGAAGATAGAAAGAATACAGTCACTGTATCAAAAAGAATTGGAGACTGTTCAACCACTCCAGGTGATAGTATATGATCAAAAACCAATGGTACTCATAGTAAGGAAGAAGTCCAAGTTGCGCTAAAGGCATTGGTAATAAACAGGCTCCCAAACTAATAGAACAACAATTGAAATGTTACAAAAAAAATGCTCACTTGTCTCTGCCAAGAAATTTGGAAGACAGCTATCTGGCCAGCCATTGAAATATTCATTTCAATGCCAACGAAAGATAATTCAACAGGATGCAGAAATTATGAGAAACAACAGCATTAATAACATGCAAGTACATTTTTCTTGTAGATAATTCAAAAACAGTTGCAATGGAGAACTGCTAGTAATTAGATTCAGAAGAGGACATGGAATGAGGGCCCTCATTACCAATGTCAGATGGATCTTGGCTGAAAGCAGAGAATACCACAAAGATGTTTACCTGTGTTTTATTGACCATGCAAAGGCATTCAACTGTGTGGATCATAAGAAATTAGGGACAACATTGTGGAAAAAGGGAATTTGAGAACACTTCATTGTGTTCATGTGTAACCTGTACACAGATCTAGAAGTAGTCAATTGTTCAAGGGGCTACTGTGTGACTTAAAATCAGGAAAGGTGTGTGTCAGGGTTGTATCCTTTCATCATATTTCTTTAATCTGTTAACTGAACAAACTATACGAGAAGGTAGACAATATGAAGAAGCAAACAGCAGTAGGACTGAAGGAAAATTCATTAACAACCTGTGATAATGCAGATGAAACCACCTTGCTGGCTGAAAGCAAAGAATCCTTGAAACACTTATTGATGAATATCAAATACTAAAGTCTTAAGTATGCATTACACCGCAACATAAAAAAACACAAATCTCCTTCCAGCTGGGCCAATAAGCAACATCATCATAAAACTGAGAAAAGATGGAAGTTTTCAAGGATTTCCTTTTACTTGCATCCACAATCAATGCCCAAGGAAGCAAAAATAAAGGATACAACTGCACTGGGCAAATATGGTACAAAATATCTCGTTAAAGTGTTAAAACACAAACATGTCACTTTGAAGACTAAGGTGTGCTTGATCCAAGTTATGGCACTTTCAATTGTCTCAAATGTATTTAAAGCTGGACAATGTACAGACCAGCTAAGAATTCGTGCCTTTGAATTATGGTGTTGGTTTAGAACATTAAATGCATCATGGACTGTCAGAAGAATGAATAAACTTAACTTGGAAAATGTATAGCCAGAATACTCCTTGAGGCAAGGATGGCTAGACTTGATCTGATGTCCTTTGGACACATTATGAGGGATCAATTCCTGGAGAAGGATAGCATGCTTGGTAGATGTTCAGCGAAAAATGGACAGACCCTCAACAAGATGGCATGGCACCTTGGGAGAAAAAGGAGGCTCAAAAACAGCAACAACTGAAGACTGGGGCAGGACCAGGCGGTGCTTCATTCTGTAATCCACAGGGTTGTTATGAGTTCGAGCCAACTTGATGCCAATTAACAACAATATGAATCAGAACTGACTCAATGGCAATGGGTTTGGTTTGTTTTGGTAATTGCTAAAAATGACTAAACCTTTTCTTTTTATTGCACTAGCAAAATAATCTTGCAATTTTTTTTTTTTTTTTTTTTAAGGAGCTCCAGTGAAAGACTTGGAAGCTGAAAAGAACTATTACATAATTTATGTGCTTCCAAAACAATCTTTGAAAAGTTTAAAACACATGACAAAACATCAAGGCAATTCAGGATGAAATTTCAATAGCCGTTTGTTAACAGCACTGGCCCCTTTGGAAAATAAACATCATTTAACTGCAGGCTGCAAAACACTCATCATTCCTGCACTGTCTTCCACTTTCCTGATTTAATAAAAAATGAAAAGTTCTTACAGTCACTTGGAAACATTTATGGTAATTCAATTCAATTCATGGCCTATTAAAAACCAAAACTGTAATAGTAAATATTCTGAGGATCAAAAGCTGAGAAATGCTTTGGCAGCTGCTATCTGAACTTAAAAAAACTCTAATGAGAAAGGAAATGGCTCTAGACATTAGAAGCTCTGTTTAACTCATCTCTAAACTGAAGCCTTTTGTGAACTACATGTTATTTCGATCATTTGAATGCTGGGATTGCACATGCTCAGAATTTAAAAGTTGTCTGCTTTTTAATTTAACATTTTAAATAAAACCAGTGGGAACAAATAGTATATTAAACCTATAAAATTATAACACTTAAATCTTTCATGTTTAGATACTCAGCAGCTTTTGAATATTTCTTTATGAGATTTCAAAGCAGATATATGACAACTGTGAGTACAATTAAAGGCAGTTTTTTTTGGTCAAGAGAGAAAATGAAGCATGATTTTAAAAGTTATTCAAGATGATATATCAACTACTTGTCTTGTGTTTCTGGACAGAGCCAAAAAAAAAAAAAAAGAAAGAAATCAAGGATTTATGCGTATCAAGAATATAGTTTGGAATTTAAAGTTTTTCCAAAAATAAGGGCATTTAAAACTCTAAACAAGTTATGAAGAGAAGCCTTAGCATTTCTTATTCTAGAAAAAAATTACTAATATGGTAGGATTAATCAGTTAGGCATTGAATGAATTCACAACCAACTTTAGACGAAATCTAACTATAGTTAAATTCTCTGTCTCCCATGACTCCAAAAGTAAAAAGTGTAAACACTATTTCTAAAATGGTCATGACAAATGTCTTCATGTAACTAACTACGTAAACTCAGATTTGTCTTAAAACTCAGCATGTTATCCCATGATTATATCGAACTAGCCAAAAGATGAAATACCATATGGTGTTTGTATAATGCAAAATTATTTTACATTTAAAGTCATTTGTATCCCCAGAGTAAACCTCAGAAGGAAATACCTATATACAAAGTTCTTACTAATGAAGTCCATCTGTGGAACCGCAGCAACGTGAATCTTTACTTCTTTCTTCCCTCCGACTTGGCTTAGATAATCCACTGTCCATTTACTTGTACATGCCCCCAAATCAATTCCTTCCAACACTAGTGGTTTTCTCTGTAACAGGGAAAACACAAGTATATAGAAAACAATTAGTGAATTATGAACAATATACCAAAAGCTGTAATTTAGCACTTATTGTTGTTGTTCAGTGCGTGGAGTCGGTTCAGATTCATAGTGTCTCCATGGAGCTGCTGACACCAAACTTACCTTGTAGTCCAGTTATACCAGGTCTCCGCATTTAGCACTAGAGGGACAAAAGCCATGTATGATCCTTGATCCCAAAATGTTCAATCTCAAAGCTTTATATGGTAAGTGCTGTCAAGTCAGTTCTGACCCATAGCGACTCGGTATAGGGTTTCCAATGAGTGGCTGGTGAGGTTGAACTGCCAACTCTGCAATTCAAAATGATTTTGCAGTCCAGTGAATTAGGCCACAATGCCACACCAGGGTGCTTGCTCTCTCTATATATACATTTATATTTATGTATACACATAAACACATATACATGTATACTAAGGAGCTCTGGTAGCATAGCGGTTACAAGTTGGGCTGCTAACCACGAGGTCCTTAGTTCAAATATACCAATCACTCCAAAGGAGACAGATGAAGCTTTCTGCTCCCGTAAAGATTTACAGCCTTGGAAACCCTGTAGAGGATCGCTATGAGTCGGAACAGACTCCATGGCACACCACCACCACCACATACATACTGTCACGGCCATTGAGTTGATTCCAGCTCATAGTAACTGTTTCCAAGACTGTAAACCTTTATGGGAGCAGAAAGCCTCATCTGTCTCCCTTTGGAGTGATTGGCAGATTCGAACTACTGACCTCATGGTTAGCAGCCCAGTTCAAAATCCACTACACTACAACCACTCCTTAATATGTGTTGTTATTGCTAAGTGCAATTGAGTTGATTCCAACTCATAGTGACCTTGTACAGTTTCCAAGACTTTAAATCTTTGCAGGAGCAGAAAACCTCATCTTTTTCCCACAGAGAAACTGGTAGGTTCAAATCATGGACCTTGTGGATTGCAATCCAGTGCCTAAGGTGTAAAAGTAAAAGGTATAAACACTGTTTCTAAAATGGTCGTTAGAAATGTCATCATATAACTATGTAAACTCAGATTTCTTGTCTTAATATGTTGTAATATGTTGAGAGGTACATATTAGAGAAAATTAATACTTTTCAGAACCATTTGAGAATACATTGCTAACATCATGCCCCTTTAGCTCTAAATACTTATGTGTATTTCCTGAGAACAGTCTTACATAACTACCGGATAATGTTATCAAAATAAAAAAATTTTGCCATATTCACTAAATATTATCTAACCCACATGCCATATTCAAATATCAGTAGTTAATAGTTATTTTTCAGTTAGTTCTTTTCCTAGCCCAGAATTCAATCTGAGATGCCACACTGCATTCAGAAGTCGGGTCTCTTTTAGTCTCCTTCAATCTGGAGCAGTTGCTTTGCTTTTGTCTTCCATGTCCTCAGCATTTTTGAAAAGTATAGTTATTTTGTAGAATACCCTTCAATTTGAGTTTGTATGATGTTTCTGGAAGCTTAGTTTCAAGTTATGGATTTTAGGAAGGAGTGCCATGTAAGGAATAGTGTGTGTTCTTTCCAATGCAATCAGGTGGTATAGTATATTTTGCCCTATTATTTGTAAGGTTTACTTTGATCAATTGGTAATTTCTGCCTGGATCGAATATTGCTATGATGGGTGCAGCAAATAGTGATTTTTCATATACACACAGATTTGACAGATGATATTTGTATATAGGTATTTACCTTTGCTGCAAACATATACATGAATGTGGTGGAATATGTTAGCCATCAAGTCAGTTCTGACTCTTAGTGATCTTGTATAGGGTTTCCAAGGAGTAGCTGATGGGTTTGAACTGCGAACATTGTGGTTTGCAGTCCTGGTATGGCATTTGAGAGTTAATGCATTAGACAGCAAAGCCATTTGAACTGCAAGGTCGGTGGTTCAAGCTCACCAGCGGTTCCTGAGAAACCCTATACAAGGTTGCTATGGGTTGGAATCTACTCAATGGCACTTCACAACAACAAATTTATGCCACACCAGGACTACGTGGTAGAGCATACATGGGCAAAATTATGAAAACTTCTTAGACATTATCAAATACCTTGAGTGAATGATTTGCTAAGCCTAGGGGTTAGGATCATAATTCGGGTGGACACCATGGTCAATTGGCATAACAATGCATAAAGACAAGCTTCTAACATCTAACTTTGGTGAGTAGTAACTGGGATCTTAAAAGTTCATGAGTAGTCATCTAAAGTACAACTATTGGTCTCTCCCTGGGCAGAGGAAAGAAGAGTGATGAAGATACATGGAAACAGTCCAATAACTAATGGACCAAGTGAATATCAGTCTCCACAACCCTAAGACCAAAAGAACAAGGTGGTTTCGGGATTCACTACCAACTAATCAGAAAGGGATCACATTTAGAAGGTCCTGGATAGAGTGAAGAAAACATGGTACAAAACTAAAAAAAAAATTAAAAAAAAAAAAGACTAGGCATACTGGTCAGACTGTTGGAACCCCAAGACTAGACCCTTGGTCACCCTTCAGGTCTGGAACTGAACTCACCCCCATGGCTCAATTTTCAGGTAAGCAATAGATAGGTATATAGGGGGACAAAACTAGTGAGGTACACACACCATTGAATGAACAACCATCTGGAATAAAAAAAGCAGCAGCATTTACCTAAGGGCAAAACTCAGAAGGGTGGGGCAAGGAAGAGAAATAGAATTAAGAAACACTGGGAGAAGGTGGGATAAGTGATGTTACACTGAGGAGATTACAATCAAGAGGAAATCAAGTGAATGGTTTGTTAAATGTGAAACTGATGAGCTGCTCTGTAGACCTTCATTCACTCCACAATAAAAAGCTAAACAAAAATATTGATAATGTTTAACGCCATTTCTTCTACATTCCTTTGTGTTCTAATGCAAAAATGAAGGTCTTCATTTATTTATTTTATTCACTGAGCTATAAACAAGTGACTTGGGTTCTCTTAGTGCAGTTTTAACGAGCACTTGCTTCTTATGAAGTCAAACATTTCTTCCTATATTTAGAAGTCATTTTTATATTTCTTTTGTGAATGATTCCAGCTTTTTACTCAATTTTTAAATCAGGTTTTTGCCATCCACCTCTCTCAAGGCCCTTTATGAGATATACTGATGGCAAGGCTGTGGGGTGGACAAGAGCAGTGCAGCACTAGTGCCCAAAATAAGTCTTCAATCCTCTTCCATAGCTAACTCACAAAAAGGGGTAAATAAAGGGTGGAGGGCATTGCCATTAATTCTTGAATTACTCAAAAATGTGTAACAGTGACACTCTTAGAGAATTAAATATCAAGTAAGAAAATCCTGTGTGTGTCTTTCCCCACCATAAAGAGAGTAACTAATCAAGTGCATTAAAAAAAAAAAAAAAAAAAAAGTGGCGAGATTCTAGTTCTTCTGACTCCTGGATTCCCTTGCAAAGCACTGCAAGTAAATATACATCTTTTCCCTGAATATTTTTGTCTCCTTTTAAAAAAAGAAACTAAGGCTCTAATTTGTTGTTATTGTTTCTGTTAAGTGCCGTCGAGTTGATTCCAACCCAGAGCCACCTGTAAAGGGTTTCCGAGGAGCCGCTGGTGAGCTTGAACAGCCGACCTTAACATCTGAACTAGAATGCAAGTAATTCGAATCCAGCAATAGGGGACGTTTCCTGGGGGATGCCTACTGCTTTCTCTGTCGGCCCACTGTGGTGAAAAATCCAAATCCAGTAACTTGGCGTCGTTTCCAACAAGAATCTTGCTCTAAACTTCAAGCACCCACCAAAAGATAAGCAGCCCAGGCAGCAGGAGGAAAGTAACAGCCGGCTTTTGTTACCGTGGTAACGGCAGACGTCATTCTTAATAAGGTTCTGCACCATGGTTCTTTTCAGGGACTGAAGAGCTTGGACAAAATGCCTCTTGAAATCACCTCTCCACTGCATCTTGCTCCTCAGAAAACTGAAGCTGTTTTGTTTCCGGAAAATTCAATACACACCGGACACACACCCAGCACTCTCTCCCTTAGCCGCAGACCAGTTTGGAGCCTCAGCGAGTGGTGGGGCCTGGTCTCAAGTTTCCAGCGGCTGAGCCTACGCGAGGACCTCACCTGCGGGTAGAGGTGCTGTAGGAACTGCTCCCGCGAAACTCCCTCGAGCCGGGGTACAGGAAGGTGTTGCCCAGCCATGACTCTTCGAGCCCAATTGCTGCCAGGCCTCGGAATCTGGGCCCCACACGTTCCTTAGTTCGTGATCCGTCCGGAAACATGACTCGGCGAGAAAAGGTCCTGGAAGACTGCTGACTCGGGAGAGTGGTTGGTTTTGAACGCAGCGCGGGGTGCCGACGGGTCGCGGCATGATATGGTTGTACGTCGAGAAATAGCGAATTAAGCGGATTTATCCGAGTTGGCAACAACAGGTCATCTTTACCTGCCTAACTTCCCCACTCCACGTCCCTAACCTCAATGAGCTGGTTTCCCACCGACTTCCTTTCAGTACAGCACTGAAAAACGCAGGGGTGAAAGGTCATAAAAATGGCGCTGGCCGCTCGCCTGCTGCCGGGCTTGCTGTTCTCCCGGCCGCTGTCGGGCGGATTTGCCCGACTCCGGACTCTTGGTGCAGCCAAGGTAAGCCCAGAGTTGACCGGACTCTGCATCTTCTGCCGCCGCCGCCTCGGCTCGAGGGCGACCCCGTTTCTTCGCGGATCTTGGGCCTCGGCGACCTGGGTGCTACCTGCTCGGGGCCCCGGGTACCGTCCACTCAGCCCTCCGCGATTCCACGCAGCCCTCACCTCTTTCCCTGCCCATCCCTGGCGGAGCTACAGCACCCAGGAGCAGCCCCAATCGCGCAAGAAAACCAAGATGATCATCCTGGGAGTTTCCAACCCCATCAACTGGATTCGGACTCGAATTTACGCCTTCCTTATCTGGGCCTATTTCGATCAAGAGTTTAACATCGCCGAGTTCGTGGAGGGTGCAAAGCAGGTTTGTTTATTTCCCCGGTTAAGAATTAAGTGGCGAGGTTTCCACACTGGGTCCCAAGTTGGTAAACCTTGGCAGTGCCTCAGAAGGAGAACCCTACGCAGATTCTTGACTTGACGCTTCTGGGTGGGTTTGCACGGTCGTCTCGGTGCAAGGGCTCCATTGAGGGACCAAGGTGAATTCCGCAGTTACCTTTTCCCTCTGTTTGCGGGAGACTTGGTGAGCAGCATAACTCCCTGCCAACGAGTCGATTCCGATTTACATAGCGATCCTGTAGAACAGAGTAGAACTTACTCTCCGGGGCTTACAAGGCTGACTGTGGCGCTGTAGGATAAGCACTGAACTACTAACCACAAGGGCAGAGGTTCAGATCCACCGTACCAGCCACTCGTCAGAAACCCTATACAGGGTCGCTATGAGTCAGAACCAGCTCTATGTCACTTAACAACAACAACAAGGGCTATATGTCCTTATCTTTCAGAGCGTGATTTTACAAGTCTGCAAAACTAGGAAGACTAATTGCCTTTATGGAACAATGCGTACGGGTGTTAAATGCCATGGAGTTGGATCTACTTACGACTCGAGGGTTTCCGAGGAATAGCTGATGGGCTTTGACTGCCGACCTTTTGCATGGCAGTCCAGTGCTGTATCTACCATAGTCTCTAGTTATTCATACGACTATCAAGTTATTAATGAAATGTTTTCAACTTTATGTGATCAATGCCAGTATTAACTTCTGCTTCCTGCGTTCCCGAATTACCTTGTGACTGCTTGATGTATTTGTTTTTTTAAAAAAAACAAAGGACAAACTTGGCTGATATGCCCAGCTCAGCTTCATAATTAACTTGACATGAGTATCTTCTGCTCATGTCAAGTTTCAAACCATTTGGCCATGTATTTTAATTCCTTTCCGCTCTCAGCAAGCAAGGTTGTGTCTTCGACATTGTTCACATATTCCAGGTTCTTGGATTATTTGTTCAGCATACACCTCTCTCATTCTAACGAGAAGTGACCCAACGGAATGCAGAAATTATA